GCCCTAATTTTGGACATTTTCTGTGAATCCCCTAGAATCACTGCCAAGGCATCATCCATAGCTTGAGCCTGATTTTCAAATCCCGCTAGTTTTATCAACTTGTTTATTGGGCTGATTTCAAGATTGTTTTTCAGAATTACCATGTCTTTGGGCAAATTGAACCTCCATTGATGCATTTCATCAGACTTTTTTGCGCTTAGCTTTGATTTTTGGCCAGAGGATGACTGTTCATCGTTTCTTCTTTCGGATTCGCTTATATGAATGTCAAAGTTAAAGACGGCTAGTCTTTTTGTATCTGCCGCGGCGGAGATTTTTGAGTTCCAATGCTCGGTTAGTTTGTAGAGATCATCGCGAATCTGGTTGCTCGTATCATTGTCAATTTGTTTCATGTACCCCCCTATTTGGACAAGACCGCCGCAGTACGCCTTTCTAACAAAGTGGGTCCCAAATAATCCGCAAAAATCTACAAATGTTTGCAGCGAAGGTACATCGTCTATATCACACTTTTCAGGAAGTTGCTCAATTGCAGTTCGGAATGGAACACTTAATTTCAATTGTTGGAGATCAGGAAGATCAAGCTGTTTAAGCCGAGTTTCCCAGTTGCAGAGGAGGAATTGTTGTCCAGGTTTGTCTTCTTGCGGGTGGGGGCGAATCGCGGCGATTATATTTCCGTATTTTTCCATTTGGAAGTTGTCATTTTTCATCATGCCGACTACGTAAGATTTTATAAACTCGTCAGTACTGTTGTAAATTTCACCCGTGAACAAAGTTTTGGCAAAGTTTTCCTTCTTGAGTGATTGGAGAAGCAGCTTGTTGTCTTGAAAGTTCTCAAACACAGGTGAGGCCGTGAAATCGTTGACGAGAACGTTGAATCCTTTGCACAATTCCTGACATGCTGCGGGGACGCTGTAAGAGTTATCGAGTTCAAAGAGCTCTGCAAATTTAGCCCTTGCTCTATCTTCAAGCTCGCATCCAGTCAAATCAATCAGAAACTGCATTGTCAGCTTTTGTAACTCCTTGAAGGTTCGGATGCCCCATTTTTCAACCAAATTGCGACAAAATTGATCAATTGTGGCCACATCTCGCTGAAAAATCCCGTATTTAGAAACGATAGCTTGTTGCTGTGCGAAAAGCACAGACGATGCCGACCATATTCTTAAAAATGCATAATAGATTTTTTTAATAAAATTTTTCAAATTGATGTTGTTGTTTTGCTGATCGGACAAAAACCTAAAACTCAGACATATTGAACGTTCACTGTGAAATTAGGACGTGGTTTTCTGTCAAAATGAATTAAGACCGATGTGGTTAACTCATAGAGTAATTTCGGATAGGGTACACCGTCTGCTCGTCACGCTATCTTATTTTCGGCCGGATAGATTCGTGCAACTTCTTAGTCTAATACCGATCCTAATCTTACTCTTATACTTACTAGTCTCAGGGTGTCTCTGCTAGGCTCAATAGATCTAGGGTATACTGGTTTATTGCGGCTGCTGAAGTTCTCTTGGAGAAGCAACTAATTTCTATGTTAAATTCAAATCTCTCTGGTGCTGAAATTACATGTAATTTCAGCACTTACAAATAAGTGGGTTGTTAGTTAGATGGATTATGATTGGTTAATATTAAATATTTTACAGTGGTAAAATATCCAATTTATCCAATTATAAAAAGTAGTTAAGATCAGGTTCCACCTATCCGGGTTTTACAGAGTTTTTTAGAATTATCTTTCTGCAATTCGAAGGATGGATGATGAACGTTGGTATTTGGCGAACATCATATTCTTGTCCGGTTCCTCTTGTTGAAGAAGTTCCAGGACGCTGGAGTTAGGGACATACAATCGTTGTGTCGTCTTGTGACAACGACTGTGATCCCCAATGAAATCATACAAAATCATTTTGATTTGCATACCCCATCAAGACAACCACATCATCGTTTTCAGTTTCTTAACTCAAAATACACATCACCATTTTCCCTTAATTTCACTTATTGCATCAAAGATACTAACCTCCACGGCAAATGATTTGCTATGACGGGTTTTTCTGTATTATGTAGAGAACTTGTTTTGTGTTCAACCTCGTCTGGGAAGGGCGTGGAGATCGTGTGTGGAAGGGATGCCTCGTAACTCGGATCTGTACGTATACTTGAACATCGAGGTGGTCATTGGTCTAGTTCAATGAAGTCCTTTTCTGCGAAGTCAAGTCGTACTCTAAACCCTTTGAGTTGTGATTGTGGACGGCATATCGGTTGTGATTAGCCATTCTTTTGTTCGAGTGTGATGGGGTCATCTAGTCTTTGGTTGTTCGTCTTTGTTGTTGTGTATTGATCTATATACTGCAAAGTATAATTTACATTTTATAAAATTATGTTAGTCGAATTTTTTAATCATGATTTTAGTTAATCGTTTTCACAAAAGCGTGAGTACCTCTTATTACCCTTGAGTACCTCTTATTAAAAATAGAAGTGTGGTCACAAAGCTTGGATGTAGCGCGGTGGGTTAGGCATGCTCAGACGTCCTCTCTGGTGGGTTAGGCCAGGAGTGGGAGTAAGATTTCGTGCTCTTTCTTTGAGAGGTCCTGTTATGTGACAACGTTTTATGTTGGGTTTGTGTTGGTCTTTTCCTATGTTACTTTGGTTGTGTCCTTTCTTTCAAAAATCAAATTGTTTTTGGTATGGGTTTGTCTTGCGACTTTTTTGTGTTTTATGATTTCTTTTTTTGACTTCATATTTAGGTATTTTTCTTTTTCTTTTCTGTTTTTGTAGGTAATCGTGGTATGAAGAGAAGAAATATAAATGAAACATCAATACAAAAAGGTTAGTACTAATTTGAATTTATTAGTGAAGAGTATTTTAAAATATACTTACCTGTTAATCGTCTGGGAAAAAGCCGTGGGGGAAGATGTCGTGTATCATATCTGATATCGTTAGTAATTTGGCTAGTGTGCAAATGATGTTTTTAGTTTGGAGCAGTGGCCAAAGCAATTGAAGTGCTTTAATGGTTTTTAGTTCTTCGGTGCCGACTGCAAACTCGTAAGGTGTGTTTTGAATGAGGTTATATATTTTGTGATTATTTTTGGTATTGTGAATGAATTCTAATATTGGTATTTCTATAGGCAGAATAAATTCATGTGAGATAAGGAATGGTCTGGATTCTTCGGCGTTAAAGGTCTTCGTGATTGGACAAAATATATACAATTGTGTTACTGGGTCATAATTGCGGAGGATGCCGTGGAGGTTAGTATCTTTGATGCAATAAGTGAAATTAAGGGAAAATGGTGATGTGTATTTTGAGTTAAGAAACTGAAAACGATGATGTGGTTGTCTTGATGGGGTATGCAAATCAAAATGATTTTGTATGAAACGATAGAATGTATATGTGTGGGTTTGTTTAGTGCGTAACATAATATCGTGGGAACAGTGCAAATCGCCTTCATGTGGTGCAAGAAAGTGGAAGGTTAGTGAAAATAACTGAAATTTGTCTTGGAAACTTTCGTAAGCTTGAATATCATTTAGTGCTTCAGAAATGATGTGATCATATTTTCTATCAAAAATATTAGGTGTGAATACGTATGACGTTTTAATGAAACATTTTTCTGTTAGTTGTGGGTTAGCGAAGCGATCTTCATCTAAAAACTGGTCTTGATTAGTTCGGATGATATTATGGTCGTATTATTCTCTTGTAAATTCGTTAGCTCGGGGTGCAGTGAATGTTTTTAGTAATTTTTTATATCCTACGTAAGTAAATTGTCTAGGTGTTAGTGTTGCAGTGAGTCTAGATAACATGTTTTTGTTCTTTTCTATGTCGTCATGAGTATTAGTTAGTGGCAGGCAAAGGGGATTAGTAAAATGATAATAAGTTGTCCAACGAAGTGTGGGCATTAAAACATGTTCATCTACGAAACTACGTGTGTCATTAGGTGTTTTTAATTTATATTGTGGAAATGAGGGTAATGTGATTGCTAGAAAATCTTTCGTGTTGGTGTGTTGTGGGTGATTAATATATTCGCAGGCTGTTCCTGGTTTGGTCGGGAATGGGTGATTCGGGAATTTTCTTTTAAAAGTGCGATAAGCTCGGTTAGTGCTACTAAGTGTTTCGGTGGATGTGGATGATTGTGATAATGATGCAGTGTAAGCTGAGGAGGGTGTAGGAGTAGGTGGGTTTGAGGATTCTATTGTGGATGAAAGTTGATGTATTGTGAGGGTGTTAGGGTGTATTAACTGTTGTTGTAAGATAATAAAATTATCGAGTTCCTGGGAAATTTGGAGGGTGTCTGGTCGGTCGGAATGAAGTGGAGAAGAGGTTGGGGTCACTTGTGAAGCATAAGAAGGAGGAGTGGAAACGGATGGGAGTGAATTATTTGTTGGGATTGGTTGAAAAAGGGGTTTTGAAAAAACTGAAGAGTTGGTCTGAAAATTATTCGATGGAGATGGTTCGGAGTCTTCAAATTTGTCAGGGGTTTCTATATTAGGGTTATTAAGTTTTGAGATAGAATATAAAACTCAAATATCTGGGTTAGTATCCGAATTCGTGCTTGATGATATACTAATAATCGGAAAATCGGGTGGTGGGAAAGCAAAAAGTGGGATTATTGGGATTGGAGTTTGGAGGTTGGCTGGGTGGGAATTTGAGCGGTGAGGGATCCAAGTTGTCGGCTCATCGTGGGCTGAAAAAATGATTATTTTGAGACTGAAAAGTGGTGATATGGGGTTGTTCTATAATTTGTTCGTAATATTATCATTTTGTGAATGATGTGTCATTATATGTTGGATGGGAATTTGTGGTATAGTTGGTCTAGAATTTGTGTTATTTGTGATTGCTAGGTTTTGGAAATTACGTGGGACAAATGATAATGGATGGTTTTGGTACGGGTGGCAAATGTGGTGCTGTAGGTGTTACTTCTATATTATTATGTTCTTCGTCGTAAGTGTTCTGTCTTGTCGCTATTTTCGTGTTATATTCTTTTATTTGTGCGTCTAGAAGTATTTTGTTTATTGATGATGAAAAAATTCCAAAAAATCCTGCAAAAAGTATGCGTGCTACACTTGCTTGTCTGTTTACTTGTGTGTATAGCGCATGTGTTATAGATTCCTTTTAAGAGCGAGAAAAGAAAGCCCATAAAGATAAACATTTAATAGTGCCAAGTAATAGGGCCATCCTAGAAAAGCTAGAATTTCATTTTTTATTGTGATAAAACTGAAAATATTTATAGGTGAAAAATCCTGTGGTCTATATTTTTCATCGTTTAAATATATTTAGTCTTTAATGTCTTTAAAATATCCGCTATAATTTTTTGTAAAAATATCTGCAAATCCTGCGGTTTTTAGCAAGTTTTCTTAAATTTTGGTCAATTGACTGTCTTTGTATAGTGTCCATTTGTGTTAATAATTCTTGAAATTGTTGTGTTCTAATGTGATGTTGGATATCTGATTTAGAATATATTCCAATTGATTGGAAATCAGTATTTGGATTACGAGCAATAGTTCTGATGCTTTCGGGTGAAAATTTTTTGAGTGGTTGCATAACGTAGGGTGTGGAGTAAGGAGATAATATTTATCTTCATCAGGCTTCAACCGTACTACATTGTGGCTATTTTCTGATCCACATGGGACTGTGGTATTCCAAAAATATGTTCGTCTTGAAAGTGTGTCAACAAAATGTTTTTTATTTTTATAGAATAAAGGGATTCTTTTATAACAACGTTTATATTCAAAAACATATAGTGGTGATACTTTTTTGGTACAAATATAAAACCATAAAATATTTCCTTCGTAGTCTAGAAAATTGGATCTTTTTCCTGACAATAAGTATCCTGCGTAGGAGATTTTTAATACTGCTAGTGCGAGTGATTGTAGGATTTGTCTCCTTTCTAATTCGCATAATTGTGTTTCTAATTCGGAGAGTGACATTTCTTGAAAAATTCGGCTAATTGTGTAGTCTAATTTCATATCTAAGTGAATATCATAATGGAAATTACCAAAGTATGTGTTAATCATTAGAGATAGTTCTTGTAAACGTGTACTTCTACTGTCATGTGGCTTTAGTTTTCCACCAGGTTGACCTGTGCTTTTTTGAAAGTTAACTGGTATG